TATAATATATATATATATGCTTTCATCAATGTGAACAAATACCTGGGGAAAACAATTTGAAAAAGAAAGATTTAGTTGGGTTCACCACTTCCGATGTTTTAGTCTATGATTTATAGGGCTGTGATGAGGCAGAAACATCATGAAAAGATGTAGCAGAAGAAAGCTGCCCACCTCATGGCATCCAGGAAGGAGAGAAAAAAAGATAGACAGAGCTAGGGCTAGGGCCAGGGAAAAGGATAGGGATAGGTATAGGGATATAACGAGGGAAGAGGGGCCAGGGACCAGATATTGTCCCCCAGGTCATGTCTTTATGACCCATTCCTTTCAACCAAGCCCTACATTCCAAGTTTTCCATTACCTTCAAATAATGCTATCCAATTATGAGCCCATCAATAGATCAAACCATTAGTAGAGTGTCCCCACAATCCAATCACTCTCCAAAAAAACTACCTGAGTACAGACTTTGGGGAGGCTTTCCAGATCTAAACCACAACACCATGCACACTTCTGTTGTATTTCTTCATCATATCTTCCCTGCAAAGCCCATTTTTGAATTATTTTTTGCTGGTTAGTCTTATTCTAGGTGACATACCATCTTCACAATTTTCCTTTGTAACTCCAGATAGCTACATTTCACTTAATTTTTTCTAAGTACTTACTGGCTGTTCAGCCATTTGTATTTTGTAATGTGGTTTTAGTATTGTGTTTTATATATAAACATATATTTAATATGTATTTTGAATTATTTTATATGCATAAGTACTTCTGCATTGAATTCTGTAAGTCTCTCAAGGATAAAAGCATGGCTTATAAATTTTAATTTATATCTGTTTTTCTTTCAATATTCTGATTTCCATAGGAAGTGACACATCCTTTGACATTTTATGAATCTACTTGAATTTTATTGGCCTAATTTCAATTCTACCATCAATTGTGTAATTTTTTTTAGTGGAAATGCAGATCCAATTCAGGAGTTCTCAAGTACTGAGCTAAATGTCTATCTTTTAAAAATTATTTTACTTTCAATAAGTTGCCCGGGATAGATTTAAACTTTTACTCCTTCTGCCTTAGCCTTCCGAATAGCTGGGATTATAGATATATAAATATATACAGTTTGAATGAAATTTTAAATTAATTTATGTTATATATCAGTAGCCCTTAATTTATATAGTAACCATAGTTAGAATTATCCTCCAAATCCTAGCCAAAGTAACCCAGTCTTGTGGTGCCTACCTCCCCAGATTATCAGTGGGCCCCTGTACGCCCCATCAAGTGCTAAGGCTATGGACCAGACTGCCGTGTAACAAGGCTATTGTCTTAATCACTTTTCTGGTTGCTAAGACAAAATATTTGATGCTCAAAATTGAAGGAGGAAAGGCTTGTTTGGCTCACGATTTGTAACGATTTGAGTTCATAGCTGGCTGGCTCCAAGGCTAGGTGGCATGGCAGAAGGGCATCACAAAGGAGAAAGTTTATGGCAGGCAGAAGGTAGCAAGGCAGCATGCAACAAATGACAAGTTCTTTCTCTCTCCTTACAGTGTATCCAGGATACCTGCCCTTAGGGATCAGTGGATTATTTTTGTAATCACACACCCTTAATCTTAGCATTCTAGGCCATTTTTCTACTTTATGGTTCCTTCTCAGCAAAGCTCTTTTCTGCTCTATCTTTGCAGTCCACAGCTTTACTGGAGCTTCCTTTCTGGCCAAATCAAAAAAGTTTTAGGGCCGGGGATTTTGCTTACTAGTGCTGCTGTCTGCCTGGTAAGCAGGAGGTCCTGAGTTTGATCCCAGGTACTATAAACAAACAAACACCAAAACACAAAACAAAACAAAATAAAACAAAAAATGTTTTAAATCATTCTACTGGGCTCTTTGCTTTTGATTTTCAACACATATCCAGATAAAAGGCCCTAACAGCAGCCTTGTCACCACCTCAACATTGGACTGTCTTGAAATTTCTTCTGGCAGATTAATTAGTCTGCTGCCCTTAATCTTAGTCTCAGGCAAAGTCTCTGGCCAGAGGAAAATGCAGACAAACTTTCTGCTGAGGTATAACACATTCTCTGTAGTCCAACAGCTATTGTAGTCCTCCTTTCCAGTAGAAACCTCTCAAGCCTGGTCTTTATAGGCTTTCTGGTCTTCTGATCTCTGACCAGAATTTCCCATATAGTACAGCCTAAGGCATTCTAGCTTTTTAAAACTGGAATCTCTGAATGGTCCCAAACTATTCCAGCAAGCCTTTCCCAAAGGCTCCTGAACCACGTGGTCAGATATATTCACACACTGACTCCAGTTTTCTGGTACTGGATTTCTGTGTTAGTTACTCTTCCCTCATTGCTAAGACAAAATACCCAACACCCAAAGTTAAAGAGAAAGGATTTATTTAGTTCAAAATTTGTAAAGGTTTTAAGCCATAGTTGGCTGGCTCCAATGGGCCAGAGATTTGGCTCAGTGGTGCCTTGCCTGCCTCACAAGCATAAGGCAAAAAGAAAAAAAAAAAAATCAAAGAACATAGTTGGCTGGCTCTAAGGCCCGGTGACTTACCAAGCTGGGCCTCAAAAAGGAGAAACAGCTCATGTTGGGCAAAAAGGGAAGGGACCTTAATGGCACCTTTCTTCCCCTTTTATCTTGTTCAGACTCTTTAGGGCGGGTAGCACTCACACCCTTAATCCTAGTTCCAGTAATCCTAGCACTACACTATCAACCCCAGGGTCACACACTCTAGATCCAGCCATCTCTGAAAAAGCCCCACTTCTGACTGCATGTGGCTTTAGCGGGACATCTAGACACAAGGCATAACACCAAGCTGTACTTGTCACCCCCTCTCTGTTTAGAGAAAGACAGTTCCTTTAGGTCTTTCTAGAATACTCGTAACATCTGGAGCCCACACAAGGAGCCAAGAGAACCAAAGGCGAGTCTAGGAAGAGTGTCACCTGAGGAAGTGTTGTTTTGGATCTCCCCAATTCTTTCTTTAAAAAATGTTTTATTAGGCTGGGGATTTAGCTCAGTGATGCTGCTGCCTACCTCGCAATCACAAGGTCCCAAGTTCCATCCTTGGTACAAAAAAAAGTTTTATTATGTAGATGATATTGGGCAATTTAGCAACTTAGTGAGACCCTAACTCAAACAAACAAACAAACAAACAAAAACCAAAAAACAAAAAACTGCCAGGATGTAGGAAAAAGAGGAATAAAAACGATCAAGATGAGATTTGCATATGTTTTCATTTTCCAAGATTAATAGATTATTATTTATTAAAAACATATACAAATGAAGAATTTGTTGTATTAAAAAAAATCCTTTCAACACTCCTTTGGGATAGATACTGCCTGTTTTCCATGTTAGGACTGAACCCAGGGAATGCTGGGTTTTACCTACAAGCCCGGGAAGAGTGGCACTTTCAGCACAGCAAAGGCCACCAGCAGGTGTCACTCTGCCAGGGTCAAACCCTGGCTTCCTGGCAAGTTGCATGACTTGGACAAATTGCTTAAACTCTCCGAGTTTCAGTTTTGTCCTCTGTAGTTTAGACTCAGTAAGGTAGTAAAATTGTAGGGTCATTATCAGAAAAAGTGAGTCAGGACAAGAAAAGAGTAGCACGGAATCTGAATACAATCGCTACACCCTGCCGGTAGGTGACTCCCAGGAAGTCCGGAAGGCGTGAGATGATTGGCTCCAAGGGGAGATATAAGAACGGAGGGAACAGTCTGGAAGTCACAGAGCAGCGCAGAGCAGGGCTACACGCACTTACAGAACTCCGCAGCAGCATGAGTTTGAGGGCTACCGCACCTGCCTGGTTCCCACCGGGGCATCCACAGGCTCGGAAGGCGGAGGCAGTGGATATAATTCTGCATCCAAGCCCGCCTCAGAATTGCTGTCCGGCTCCGGGATTTATTTTCGTCCAGGCGGCCCAACCTCTGAGAAGAGGCTCAGAAGTGCCCTTTGCCAGGCTCAAGACCACCCCAAAGGCCCAGTGGAAACTAGCTAGCTGCCAGCAGTCTGCCCCACCGCCACCAGCTAAGAAGCCTTCTTCAGGCCATTCCCCTGGCGGAAAGAGGAAGCTCCATGTTCCTGAACCCAAGGTGGTAACAGCTCCCACGGATACAAAGAGGGCTCTAGAGGCTAGCAGCAGCCAGGCCGCTGATGGCGCGCAGCCCCTGAAAACTGACTCATCGCCAGGGGTGGAGTCCGAGACCTCCTCCAACACCACTGCTGCGCAAGTCGCCCATGAACGGTCTTTACGGGGCAAAACCCCGACAGCAGTCCGCCAACAGTACTTTGGCCTGTTTTCTGAGGAGTGCCTGAAGTTCTGCTCGACGCCCCTGGAGGCTCTGAAAAGGGCATGGGTGGAAGAGAAAGTAATCTTCGACCGCAGTTCTTGCAAGAACGGCTACCTGAACGACGCCAGGCACACGCTCAAGACGCTTAGGGGCCTGGTTCCCAGCAGCCTGCCTGGTCTCAACCGGGCCACCCTGTACAGACGCCTCTGCCGGTACCTGCTCACCGAAGATGAGCGCAAGGTGAATAGCTACCCCTTCCCAGACCCGGAGAGGCCAGGGCACGCAGTGCTCTTCACCGCGGAGAATAAGCTCCAGAACGCTCAGTGTAGGACCTGCTGCCGCTGCGGCACTGAGTACCCGGTGACTCCGCTGGGGCTCTGTGTACGCCCAGAGCAGTGTTACTACCACTGGGGCCGGCCGCGGAAGAAGTTCCAGGCCAGCGGCTGGGAGAACCTGTACACTTGCTGCTCTGCAGCTGTGGGCTCTGTTGGATGCCAGGTCGCCAAGCAGCATGTGCACGACGGCCGGAAAGACAACCTGGAAGGGTTTGTGAAGACTGTGGCCAAAGAACGTTCGCAAGATGCCCACCCAGGTATTTATGCCCTGGATTGCGAGATGTCTTTCACTATCCATGGCCTAGAGCTTACCCGTATCTCCATGGTAGACTCAGACTTGCGTTTGGTTTATGACACTTTCGTCAAGCCCGACCACAATATCGTGGACTACAACACCAGGTTTTCCGGGGTGACCGAGGCCGACCTTGCGCGCACAGGCGTCACGCTGAGGGATGTGCAGGCTTTCCTGTTGAATGTATTGAGCTCGGACAGCATTCTCATCGGACATAGCCTGGAGAGCGATCTTCTGGCACTAAAGATGATCCACCCCTCGGTGGTGGACACAGCGGTGCTCTTCCCCCACCACCTGGGCCTCCCCTACAAGCGCTCTCTGCGGAACCTCGTGGGTGACTACCTCCACGAGGTCATCCAGGACAATCCTGCTGGGCACAACTCCCTCGAGGATGCAGGCGCCTGCATGCGCCTGGTGGGCTGGAAGATCATGGAGGATGCTATCCAGAGCAGTTGGAACCCTGGCTCGCCGCCGCTGCTCGTCTCTTCTGTGGCCCAAGCCTGCCCTTGGCCCGGGTCTCTTCTGAATGCAGCGTTCTCAAAGCCAGCCCAATATCCGGCCCCCGCAGCAACCTGAAACCAAGACGTGGAGGAGCCTGCAGCCTCAGGGAGCAGCTCGCTATGTTACACTGAAACCAGAGCCCCGAGCTTTGAGCATTGGGCCATTCCCTGGGCCCCTGGTGCTAACTGTTTATCCCTTGCAGACCTCTATCCTCTCTGAGACAGCTCCCCGAGTCTGCCAGCGCCTATCCCCAACCCTCCAGCCCTGCTCTGGCTGGCTACCAACCCCTAATCCACACCAGCACCCCTCACCAACCACCCATCTCCCACAGGTCCTACAGCCCTGCCTGGCAGCCTGCCAGCCTCCATACCCACCCCTCCCTTCCAGGTCCTATTATGATCCCCAGCAGAGACAGACAGAGGGACCTGACCAGCCTTGACATCTTTTACTTTTTTTTTCCTTGAAGCTAGGGCCTTTGCACTGAGCCACATCCCCATCCCCTTAAGATTTTTTCTTTTGAGTCAGGTTTCTACAGGTCTAAATTGCTGGGGCTGGGCTTGAACTTGGGGTCCTCCTGTCTCAGTGAAAGTTACAGGTGCATTACCATGCCTGCCTCTGCCTCTGCTTTTTAGGGGATGGGAACAGGCAACATAGACATGTCCAGGGTTTGGTATATGTGTGTTTTTTTTTTTTTTTTTTTTTTTTT